CCGGTGGAGGCGGGTCCCTCTCGTTGTATAAAATGGGGAGCAGGAAAATAAGTGAAAATACGATGCCTTTCCTCCTTCCCACCTCGGAGCCAGAAGCAAATCCCTATGTCCTTCACATATCCTCCTGGAATGAGGGTAATATTGTGTCCCACTCTAGGTCTTGGTGGTTCTAGTGTGATCTTAATTTCATGATCTGTTTGACTGTGGATCGCCTTGAAACAAGCACTCCAGAGGTGGGCTATGGGGTAAAAAAATGGAGGAAGGGGGGGTGGCAGATGGAAGAGAGAGAGAAAATGATTTCATGGAAAAGCCAGTTTAAATCCTCACTTATCTTTTGAAATCATTATTTATTTGATACCCCACATTTCTCCCAAAGCTGGGACTCAGGGTGGCTTGATGAAATGTAAAAACATGTAAATAGATAATGCAGCAAGTCATAATTTGTTGATTTTATGTGCCATCCAGTAGCATACAACGTATACCAACCCTAATTAGGTTTTCAGTGCATATAAGGAACTGAATAGATATGTAACAACACAAATAAGGTTTCCAAGCTGTGTAAGGAGTGGTTTTAACAGCATCACCTGCTCACTGATTTTCCGTGGCTGAGTGGGGATTCGAACCCAGGGGCTCTGAGTCCCATCCTGCCCCTTTATCCACTAGACCATAATTACACAAATCATAATATCCACATAAACACTGAATTGAAAATGATTCTAAACAGATCTTTGACCTGAACCTTATTTTAAAAGCAGATGGTTTTAAAAGGCATGCCACCCTCCCATTCGGTCCGTTGTCAAAAGGTGAATTAGTCTTTGCCCGCTGGTAGGAACTCAACAGGGAGAACCTGGGCTAGGCTCCCTCAGGGGGGAGTTCCGCTGGTGGTCCTACCTTCAGGCACACTGAAGGGGTGGACTCCACGGGGACAGCACCTGGGGAATTCCTTCTGGACCCTTTGGATGCTCCCTTCTGTCAGAGCAGGCCTATGTGAGTCTCGTGGCCTTACAAGCCGTGGTTGGTGACATTGTGGTTGATGCCACCATGGCTGGTGAGGCAGAAGGCACGGCCATCAATGGTGGCCACAGCCAGGAACTGGGACAGAGGCAGGAGAATAAACAGAGAGATCTTCCTGCGGAGCATCGTTTCTTTGACCCTCTACCTTCTGCTGAACCTGGGTTGGCTGAGCAACTCCTATTTGCATGAACCAACCTCCACTCAGTGCTCTTTATGTTAAGGAGCATAGGTCTTCTCAGGAGGAGTGTTGAAGGTTGCTTTCCTGCCCTCACTTCTGACATTCAATGACCGGCTTGCATTAGTGCATTTGAAGAGAGAGCTCTCAACCAGCCTGGATCTTCCTCTCTCTCTCTCTCCATCACCCAACCCAACAGAGCAGTGGTTCCCCAACCTTGGGCCTCCAGATGTTCTTGGACTTCAACTCCCAGAAATCCTGGCCAGCAGAGGTGGTGGTGAAGGCTTCTGGGAGTTGTAGTCCAAGAATATCTGGAGAGACCCATGGTTGGGGACCACTGCAACAGAGGACCTTGTTCTCTCACCTACTAGGAGGAGCAGCAGCTGCCAGGACTTGCCACATCCGGGAAGGGCCATGTGATGAGCTAGGTCCATACAAGGCTCCCGTCTTCCTCTCCCTCTCAGTGATAGAAACCATCGTGCCACCTCCTCATCTCATCTCATCTCAAAGGTGGTACCTTTCTTCCCAGCAAGACAAGCTGCCTTGTTGCCTCTACCACTACTCCCGGTACGAGGCCCATGTGAGTTTGCCTTTCAAGTGCCTATCCTTGGCCCCCGCCCCTTCTACCAGCCAACCCCATCCTCTTGGATATAAGCTGCCAGGTAATGGAAGGATGTCATAAAGCAGAATCCAAGGTGTAAGGAAGAGGCTGAACAGCACATTCCAGAGGCAGGAAGGTGTCGTGTTTGGAACAGGAGCAGAAGCACAAAGCTGGCCAGATGTTCCACAACATCAGGATCATTCCAGATGAGCAGCTTGCTCCAAGGAGATCTGAAAAGTAGGAAGGGGTGGATTGCTCGGAGTCCCACTAAGACCTTACCTACAAAGCCTTAAAGCAGGCACTGGGATAATCGGGAGACATCATCCTGCTTCTGCTATCGACAATATCTGAGAACAATAAAATACACGGTGTTGTCAAACCACCAGTCACCCTTGGGTTTTTCTTCAAATGTTTCTGCTGATGTGGCAAATTTATAGCTACTTTTTAATTACACAAAGAATTTGGAGCATGACTAGACGCAATTCTATCCCTGAATGTTTGCAAACAACATTTAGTTCAGAATGTCAAAAGTTAACTTTTGAAAAGTAATTGATTACAGGCATTGTTCCAAAGCTCCAAACACTCATTATTTGATGTAATTTGTAATTTAAAAAAACACAAAGTAACTTTTTGATCCTGAGTACAAGCAAAAATCTGTGTTAAGTAAATCCTTTGTTGGATTATTAAACTGTGCCATAACAGGGTGAACTTTCGGCTCGAATTGTTATTTTCTTAGATGAGATAAAAATCTGGGAGACTGAGGAGGAAGCAAAAGTCAGAAAAGTCAGACCAAATGTACACTTCTAGGGAGTTAAAACCCAGACAAGGAATTTTCTCGGTTGCTGCTTGAAAATCTGTGTTAAGTAAATCCTTTGTTGGATTATTAAACTGTGCCATAACAGGGTGAACTTTCGGCTCGAATTGTTATTTTCTTAGATGAGATAAAAATCTGGGAGACTGAGGAGGAAGCAAAAGTCAGAAAAGTCAGACCAAATGTACACTTCTAGGGAGTTAAAACCCAGACAAGGAATTTTCTCGGTTGCTGCTTGTAAATTTGGAAAAGAGAGAGAGAGAGAGAGAGAGAAATTTAACCAGTTTATAGTGACACTGCAGATGGAGTTGATTATCACTCATTACCTGATGGGCAGATAATGGATTCTGACAATTTGCAGGGCTGTAGAGAAAAACTGATAAGAAAAAGGAAATAAAGCAGGAGAGAGTGGCATACAAAGACGAATACTGTACACTTGTTGAGCTGGGACTGACTAAATCAGAGAAGCCTGATCTGGCTTTTCCATTATACAACGTTATATTTCCTGGTACACATCATTAACTTGGGAAATGTTTATTTTCTGGTTAAAACACAAAATAGCAGGGCAACTGAAAGGGAGAACGCTGTGGGTAAAAGGGCACGATCCATACCCAGCAGATGAGAAAGACGCGTCCTTTTAAAGTCTGGATCGCTCCCTCCCCTTCCTGGCAGCGCCCTGTTGGGGCAACGAGAGGGAAGGGAAGGGAAGGGGGGCGAGGTGTGCCTCGGGCGACTCCCTCGATGCTGCCAAGGCTCCACCCTGCTCGGCCCGGGTGGCTCCCGCAGGCATCGCGGTCGCCTCTCTTTCGAGGCGCGAGGGATCCAGGCGTCCTGCGGAGCTTCCCCTGCTCCCGCTCCCGCTCCCGCCCGCCCGCCTCCCGGCTTCGCGAAGAAGCCCTGCGATGGGGAGGCAGGAAGGGGCTCCGAGCTCCGTTCGGGGTCCTCCTGGATGGAAAGGTTCCCGGCAGGCAGCATTCCTGACAGGTGAGCGGGATCGAGCCCCTGGGGGGGACGGGGGCGCGGGTAGGGGATGGGAGAGGTCTCTGGCTGAAGAGCCTCTGAGAAGTTGGGAGTTCGAATCCCCTACTGGGCTTCCTTGACAGGGGCTGAACTGGATGATCCATAGGGTCCCTTCCAGCTCCGCAGTATGATGATGATGATGATGATGATGATGATGATGATGATGATGATCTCTGCAAGAGAGATGGGGTGTCATTAGTGGAAGACATGCAATCCCAGCCTAAGGGATTCTTCCACAGATTTACTGCTACTGATGATGATGATGATGATGAAGGTTATGATGATTTAGAAGGGAGGGTCTCTGACTCCAGCAGTGACACGTGAGCTGCAATAGCGGCCATCACAATTTCTGCTTTGACCTTTTTTCTTCCTCTCTAAAATGCTCCTGGCACCAGGTATTTCACAATTAAAAACCCAGAGTGGCACAACTGGTTCATGCAATTAGTTTGTGCTAATTGTTCTGAATCAATCCCCCAACTCACTCTTCTTGTCCAAGGTTCAGGGCCCCCCCCCAGAAGAGGCTGACTAAATAGTGATTAAAGTGAGCACAGAAAGGCAGGATAAACCAGGGTTTGGTGGAATCTAAGAGGAATTTGTTTGGAAATGGTACTCCTTTAAATCTTTTTGACTACGACTCCCAGAATCCACCATCCATCAAGGCTGGTATGAAGATGCTGGGAGCTGCAATAAAAAAAGGGGCAATTTTCTGAAGTCTCAGAGGAAGAAATAATAACAAAAGGGTCTTAACCTGTTTTTATAGTGATGATGACCCACAGAAAGACATTCATGGCACCCAACATCCGATCCCAAATCTGAAAGGCCAGAACTTTCCCCGTTGTCACAGAAATGCCACCCTAACTTTCTTGCAATGCAAGTCTTTTTTGGGTTCAGACAGTAGAAAAAGCAAGTGTGCCTCGCTGGAGAGCCGTCTGCTAACCTGGGATGGTGAACATTTCCCTAAGGAAAAGCTTAATTTCTCTACACGTTCAGAAGACTCAGGATCTTAACCTGGGATGGTGAACATTTCCCTAAGGCACAGGGTAATAGTAGAAACAAGGAAAAGCTTAATTTCTCTACATGTTCAGAAGACTCAGGATCCGCAGAGGACAGAGGGGGGTGGAAAGAGGTTGCTAGGGAGAAAGTCAAGGTCAACCAGCACTCAGAATCATGTTGAGAATTTTTGTCCGCCTGCAATTTTTTATAGGTTTGCAGAAGAACATTGATAGGGTGGAACGAGGTGTACTTTGGGCTAGAGAGAGCAATTAAACGCCAGGCAAAAGTGTAAAAACACCTCCATTGGGCAGGGAGCGGTTAGGATTGGCCCTGCATTGGGGGCTCAAGGTTTCACAGTAAAAAGATATTCTGGAGATGGGTTGATGACCCTACATTTCTCCACTCCCAGCTTTCATCAAAAGTGAACTTTACTTTTTTTCTTGGGGCTTCCGATATGCCCACAGTTGTAATTTCTTGAAGGCAGATCTTCAATAACTCAGCGAGTTAGGTATTTCTCTGACCAGTGCCAGAATTTGGAAATTCAGTTCCCCACAGGGGTTTCCTGGGTAGCCTTGGGCCAGCTGCACAGTCCCAGGATGGCCACAGAAGAAGGGAAAGGTCAACCGCTTTGGGGTTACTCTCTACCTAGAAAATCCTAGGAAGGAATCAATTTGACAGCATGTACTTAAGTTGGAATCAATTTGACGGCATGGACTCATCATCACCATCGCCGTTCCCAGAGTGCTGCAATGCACTTGGAAATGTTTAATTTTCAGAAAGAAAGAAAAAGAAGGAATTGAGCATCTATTCCCAGCTCTAAGTTTTAGGTTTTGGAGAGTCTGGCCTTGGTGGAGTCCCAAGATCATCAAATGTCAGAACTGCCACTTCTGGAGAAAATGGGAAAACACCCTCTGAACGTTCAAAAATATTTTTTTTCCTACCTGTGGGTCTCTGTATGACCTACAGGTAAGGCTCGTAACCCAGAATCCTGTTGAGGGAATGCAGAGCTCAAGGACAATGGTGACTCTGCATTCTTCATTATCACCATCATCTTAGAACGGCAGAAATGGAAGGGACCCAATGGACCATTGAAACTAGCCGCTAACCGCTGTTGGGGAGGCACAGGGAGGATTCAAACTCCCAGCCTCTGTCTCTGCAGTCAGAGACCTAAACCACTGAGTTCTCGACTCAAGAGGCTCCTTTTGGCATGAACCATTTCACATTAGGGTACGAAACTGGCTGCGGTGTGTGTCAGAGATGGAGATCCACTACATAATTGTTCTAGTTTGCAGTGTTTCTTTGGAATAAGATTCTGCTCTACCTCGTTGTATGCAACCCAAACTCTCCCTTTCCTGTTCCATATTGCAGTTGCCATCCTGACTTCTCCGACCCTGATGGCTCCACAAAACCAGCACTCCTCCATCACTAGAATTTTGGTCACGGCGCAGCCATCAAATCCCATACAAGAAGGAGGGAACGTCACTTTAATCCCAGGAATGAGCTCAACACATTTTTCAAGATGCATCTGGTACCGAGAAAGGGCCGGGAATGCAAAGGAAATGATCATAGCCCATGAAAAAGGCCCATTTGCATTGTTTTTAACTGGAGATGCATTCACAGGGAGGGTGACCATGGTCGCAGGCTGCTCCATTTACATCGAATCTTTAGCACAAGCGGATACTGGCATGTATACAATCGACCTGGACGAAGCTGGGGAGTTTTTGGCAACAGGCCATGTGAAAATAGAGGTGGTAGGTAAGTTTCTGTCTGTCTTTTCACCATTCTGAACCCTCTTTGCACCCCAAATCTTCTCCTGCTTTCAGCCTTCAAGGACCTCTCTCATAGACACAAGTTTCCCTCCCGAAACCAATGAGAGCCTTTCAAAGGGGCTTCCATTCCTCAAACCCACAGGGTTTCGCTTCGTATGTTCTCTGCTCCATTTACAAGAAGTGGAGAGAGAGCTGTAAACATTTAATTGCAGCAGCTGAATGATCAGTGTGTTGCATGCAGAAATGCGGTAACAGAACCCCACCACTGCACCCCAACTCAAAACAAGCCCAGCCCCAATCTAGGGCTTCATTGGCACGAAGAATGAGGAAGTGCTTCTTGCCCACCTCTAGTCCTGATTGATACATGAGTGGACAACGGGAAGGGACCTCTGAGCTACAATCCTGAAAAGCCATTTTTTCAAGCACTTCATCATTGCATAGGGTAAGAGAGAAGTCCTTGACTTGCAGGAGAATCTTTCATGAGAAGTCAAGTAATGAGAATTTTGACCTGATCCAGAATTCATATCAGTAGTCCATCAACATCTGGAGATTGCAAACTGTTCCCCTTCACTTTATAGCAGGGATGTTGGCAAATCTTTAGATCAGAGTCCCAGGTCCGAAAGCTTGGTACCAAGCCCCAAGGTAAAGGTAAAGGTTCCCCTTGACATTTAGTCCAGTCGTGTCCGACTCTAGGGTGCGGTGCTCATCACTGTTTCCAAGCCATAGAGCCAGTGTTTGTCCATAGACAGTTTCTGTGGTCACGTGGCCAGCGCGACTAGACACAGAACGCCGTTTACCTTCCCACGGAGGTGGTACCTATTTATCTACTTGCATTTGCATGCCTTCGAACTGCTAGGTTGGCAGGAGGTGGGACAAGCAATGGGAGTGCCCTCCATTGCTGGATTCGATCTTACGACTGCTGGTCTTCTGACCTTGCAGCACAGAGGCTTCTGCGGTTTAACCCACAGCGCCACCACATCCCTTCCTAAGTCTGAGTCCCTGTTAAAATGAGCTTCCCCCCCCCTTCCAGAAAAAAGGGAGTGGATGAGTGAGTTCTGAGTCACAAGTCAAATCTGAGTCATTGAAAAAAACCCGAGTAGCCTCTGAGTCGAGGTGCCGGTGCAACTTAAGTCTGACTTGAGTTCCCATCCCTGCTTTATAGCAAGACTGTATGGACTTAATGGCTGAAATCCTGTTGTGCAATTACGCAAATGGTGTAACCTTTGGCATCAAACTGCCTTCAGGAAAGGACTTTCCATAGACATTTATCAGTTGCATACTGAGTCGTACCACCTGGCACGCAATGGATAATATCTGCAATGACTTAATGGCTGAAATCCTGTTGTGCAATTGTGCAGATGGTGTAACCTTTGGAATCACACTGCCTTCAGGTAAGGACTTTCCATAGACATTTATCAGTCATACCACTTGGCATGCAATGGATAATATCTGCAGTATTTCTTAACAACAATTCACCTCTAAAAGTTACGCTGTTTGTGTAACCCTGCAACAGGATTTCAGCCAATATAGCAATGAGCCGAATCCTTTCACTGGTCCCACCGGAGTAGACTCATGGGACTTGCTTTAGAGTTGACTGAACAAAATGCATGCATAGATTTGGTCCCAATTTCAGTGCTGGCTTTAACACACTCCTTCCTTTGCTTACCCAAACATCCTTTCTTCTTTCTGAAAATGAATATTGGATTCGTTCAATGTCAGTCTTCAAGGACACTGTCACTCAGTCCCTAAAAATGCATCTTTCAGGTCATGCTTCTTCTGACTGGAGCGCTCCCCCCAGGCAAAACGAAGACATCGTGACAATTGTGGTTGGTGCCTTCTGTGCGGTAATAGTAGTTGGCATTGGAATCGTGCTTTTCTTCTGGATCTGTAAGTAGAACTTTGGGTTCTGAGAAGCCTGGACTCTTGCAGTCCTCCCTTTTGTTTCTACCTTCCAGGTCAAAAAACAGGCACAACAAACATCTGGGGGCTAGAAGCACATGGGAAACCATGCATCTCCTTTTTGGTCCGCGGATGGAAACGACAACAGAATAACTGCAAGTTATCTGATACCCTGTTTCCCCGAAAATAAGACAGGGTCTTATATTAATTTTTGCTCCAAAAAACGCATTAGGGCTTATTTTCAGGGGATATTTTATTTTTGTCATGTACAACCATCTACATTTATTCAAATGCAGCCATGTTCTGTTCTTCTGGTTGCTGCACAGTGGTGGAGGGTGGGGTTTCACTTAACTAGGGCTTATTTTTGGAGTAGTACTTCTATTACGAGCATCCTGAAAAATAATACTAGGGCTTATTTTCAGGTTAGGTCTTATTTTAGGGGAACCAGGGTAGTTCCTCACCCAAATCCTGAAAAATCATACTAAGGCTTATTTTCAGGTTAGGTCTTATTTTAGGGGAACCAGGGTAATTCCCACCCAACTGAATAAGAAAGAAGTCTAGTTGCCATGACTCAACTTCCAGATATGCCTCCTGTAGTTTGTGCATCAGTTTGTCTCGCTTTGTGATGGGTCATCAGGATATAAGCATGGGCTTCGAATGCTGGCTGAAGCATAAACGTATGATGGAATCCACATCTCTGGAGCACTGGTGTGATTTCAGTTTTTTTACATGTAGTTTGACCCCGTGACGGTTAAAAATAGAGATGTAAAGATTTGACTCCAACTCCTTTCCTCCCTCAGGTTTTAGACGTCTGAAGAACAGGAGACCTACCGGTGTGGTCATCACACCATCCGCGCCTCCACCTCGACCTCCAACTCCACCTCCATCTTATGAAAATATTTTCCCTTTGGGACAGGTGAGTTCCGGAAAGCAATTTCTTGGGTCCTTGGGTGAGTTCTTGGGTCCTTGGGTGAGTTCCGGAAAGCAATTTCCTTGGCTTTTCGCTTTTAATTTCAGAGACAGGGTTGCACAAGGTGATCCAGTTGGAGAAAGTGCAAAGGGAAAGTCGGAATTCAACTAAGAAATAAAAATAAAAAGTACAACTGAGCATCGCTATGGTTAATAACCCAAAAATTACTTTTATTTTTAAAACCCAGGTCAGTCCTACATCTCCCCCTGCAAACACAGGTGAGATCGGTGGAATAATGCATCCCTCTCTCCCAAAGGATAACTGACCCAGCAGAAGCCAAGGAAAAGACTGAAGTCAAATTATATGTTACAGCTAACATGTCCTCAGAAGGCAAGTTGTCTCACATGCAGAAGTCTGATTGTCACAGTAGAGGATTTCCAATGCAACACTATCATTTGCCTAATATCTATTATTTGGCTGGCATTGCTCGTCCAGAATTACATAAAGAGGTGCTGGAAAATAATGAATAAAATAAGGTAATACAGCTCCGAAACCATCCAGTTCATAGACACCAGGCTACCCACCCCCTGACAATGGTTAAAGTCAAGGGAATGTTTTCTGTGCACATCTCAAGCTCTAGATGTTAGAAGAAGCTATTCCAAACCTATGGAGTACATAACACACCTGGCCAAATGGATGGATGCAGAAGACTACCTCCCTCTGGGACAAGATTGTGGTTGGGCCATCTGGAAGTCTGGGGCTCCCTGGATACAGGACAAATTTTCTGGGACTGTGGCAAAATTCAGTCAATGCACTACTTAAAGGCAAATGTTCCCCTTGACATTTAGTCCAATCGTGTCCGACACTAGGGGGCGGTGCTCATCCCTGTTTCCAAGCCGAAGAGCCAGCATTTTTGTCTGAAAACAGTTTCCGTGGTCACATGGCCCACGCGACTAGACACGGCACCCCGTGACCTTCCCACTGAGGTGGTACTTATTTATCCACTCACATTTTTACATGCTTACGAATGGCTATGTTGGCAGGAGCTGGGACGAGCGATGGGGGCTCACTCCGTCGCATAGATTCGATCTTACGACGGCTGGTCTTCTGACCCTGCAGCACAGAGGCTTCTGCGGTTTAACCCGGAATGCCACCACGTCCATTCATGCACCACTTAGGTGCATACAATTTATGAACCACTACATGTACCAAAAAAAATCAAGCAACCAGCCAAGAAAATGCTGTTGAAGTAGCCCACATCCGGTCATAAATATTTTGATTTGTTTTTTATTACACCTATATTTCATATAGGGCCATAATTTTAAATTGTGCAATGCTCTGATAGGAATAAAGAAAGAGTGTGAACATCTCTTTAGTCATAACTGTTCAATTCAAGGATGATCAGCCAAATAAACAATGGCCACCATTCTTCCAAGCTCACCCAACCCTGTGTTCCAGGTGGAGAGAACAAACACCATCATCCTCAGAGTGGAATTATTCTCTATGGTGGAGGAACATGGTTTCCCCTGTCATGCCTCTGTGGTTTTAATTAATGGATGTAAATAAAAATACAGTGATGTTATTTGTCTGGTGTTGCTTATTACTTACAAGCCCCTCCATTATGGGTACTGCATGAAAGACAAAGTCTCTAGAAACTGAGGCTGTCATACTTTGGACACATTTTTGTGAAAACAAGATTGGGTGAAAAAGACAATAATATGAGGAATAGTTGCAGGCTCCAGGAAAAGAAAAATAACAAATATGAGATAGAAAGGAAACCACAGCTTTATGTTTACAGGAGGCTGAGTGGGGCGTTTGAGGATATGGCATTTTGGAAGTTATTCATTCCTATGATCACCTTAAGGTGGAGGCAACTTAATAGCATACAACAAAACATCACAGAGGATGAGGGTGTTTCTGGGGGTAAAGGCATTTCTAGAATAATTGCAAATCAATAAACAGAGACAAAGCATGACCGGAGCCTTCTGCCACTTACCCGTTTCATGTATCCACGTATTTGCTCACCTGGACCTAGTCCTAATCCCCAAAAGTAACTTTCCGAGTGATTCTCCTCAAACTGTAACAGCAGCATCCACAGGAGGGCGAGAGAGGCTTGATTAATCCTCCAGCCAAGAGTTCAAAGGTGTGGCTCAATTAATATTCTCAACCAAAGGAAAGTAAAGGGGAAGCTTTGCTTAGAGGAAGTAAATGCCTCTGGAGAAGCGTAATTGTGAAAGAATGGGGGATGTTTCCCTTGCCTGATCAGACCTGGGCTCAGAAAAAGCGCTGGTGCAAGGGGATCGTGGCAGGCAAGAGAGACTGAATCCGAAGCTGTCCTAACATCCTGCAGAGGAATCCTCAACAACCATGCCCCGAATGGGTGGGGGGCATGGCATACATTCACAGCAGAACTCCCGGAAGAAGTTGCTGTTTGCAGGTGAGATGTGAGAGGGCTTGGCTGGGGAATTTGCTCTTTTCCAGGGCATTCCAGTAAGAACCAACTGGGGGCCCATGAAAAACTGACCACAAGACCACTAGCCATCATTAGGTATCACTCTTCCCTGGCTTGTTTTGATGCAGTTCTTGGCAGTTTAAAGCTACAGTCCAAGATGCCCTTACCTGGATGTAATCTCTCTGAGCTCCGTGGCACTCATTTCTGAGTATACTCTCTTAGTATTGCATGGGGAATATGTCAAAGGATAGTTAGAAATGAGTGTTTTGAGGGGAGATATGTTTACAATGTGTATCTTGCCATTTATTTCAATGCCAAAATGTGCAAGTGCTTTAAAACTGCACAAAAAAGCAGAAATTGGAAATGTATGAGTGGGTGGGTCCATTCCAAAACGTTGCAGACAGGAAATAGATTTATTGTGCAATCTTACACATGCCTTAAATGAAAACCCCACTGACTTCAACAGATTGTACATCTACCCATCACCCCCCCCAAAAAAAAACAAGGATTGTAGCTTTTTAATGGAGAGCAGACATTTAGAAGGGCTCAAAGACTTAGCAGGCAAGAGATCGGGGACCATCTTGAGTGGATTATGTTTCTTCTTTATATACAAAATTATTTGTTATTATCGTCAATATAAAGACTTTTTAGAGCTCAGAAGGATTGTTGTTGGATCAGAACATCATCCAGAACTCCCTGGCCAGCACAGCCACTGGCCTTAGTGGTTTTGGGTTTCTGGGAAATGTAGTCCACAATGTTAATTTTTGCAAGTGCCATAAATGTCTAACTTTCCCATCTAGAACTTATACGAATCACTTAGAGTGGCTTGTGACATTTTAGAAAGCATTTAATTAAAAAAAAATAGCAGAATCTTACCATTTCTCTTTGTGAATTCTTAATGCAATAACCCAAGCAGATTATTTCCAAGAGCAGCTACTCAGGGTGTCCCTGGAGAAGACATTGGATCTCATATCTAGGAGCAGTGCTCCATCAAGTCCTGAAAAAGCTTTAATTGTGTCAATATGTAGAAAATAGAAGTGTACCTGTCATTGGAATGTAAATACTAGGTTCCTTTGCATCTCTGTTCAGGAAGACATGAATGACAAAGGAGACTTCATTGCTAAGGAGAATATGTTGTAAAGAGAGAAAAACATGTTTTCCTAAATGTGTGATTTGATCCCCAGTAAAGACTACAGAAAAATCTAATTGTCATGGGTAGCAAAGAGCCTGATTTGCCTGTCAGTGGGAGAGCAAGATAAGCTTGTGCTATAAAGATGATGGTTTGCATCCTTGAAAATGCAACAATTTGTTACAATCAACAAAATAATTTTTAAATATAACATCTCAATGGACACTTCTACAGTAATAGAGGCATGAGTTAAGATGATACAGAAATTGTGGTACAACAGCCTCTCCTCCTCTGTCTCTCTCTCTCTCCATGGAAGATAGGAAAGTTGTGATAAAGAGTTGTCAGCACAGAAGTGGTTCTCAGGAGACTCTTAAGAGTAACACATTTATTGTGGCAAAAAAATATTTTCGGTTCTTCAGCTTGCAAGTGCCACCCCAACCTCTCCTCTTTCCCAACCCCAGCCTTGATCTTCAGCCATTCTTTTCTGCCAGCCCAAAGCCATAGGATGATTATTCTTACCCTCTAGCCTCCACCCAATCTGGTTGGAAGGCAACAAGTCAACCGAACACTGACAACAATCACAGGGAACTGTTTAAGCTTCTGTTGGTGAGGATAATCACATTTATTCCTTTGCTTATCTCTGGAAGGGTCAAAAAGTTGGTATATGTTGACTACTTGAAGGACATTCAGATACCTTAGCTGGTTAGTTCAGTAGTACCTTAGACTGGTGTTCTGCCCACTTTTGCACAACAACCCAGCATGAGTTGCTGTCTTTGGGGCTGCTTGAAGTGTTGCCTTGAGTACTGGCTGCAGCACCTAGCAGAAGGGTGCTCTATTTTAATTGGCATACATGGGATTTGGTGTCAAATGAATGGGCAATAATAACAATAACAACAATGAAGATGATGATGATGTGGATTAACTTCTGAGTACCTTGCACCTATTAAACCCTGGCTAGATCTGCTATAAGTTGAATGCTCAAAAGTCAGTCATGCGAGACAGATGCAAAACATTGCCTGTCAGATACCAAAAGAGTCCTGGAGTAGTTTTTTCCGCTATAAATATTGAAAACAATTCCTTGAGATGTCCAAGATGTCTCTAGCATCTGGTTCTGGCCAACCACAGGGTTCCCGACAACCATTCTGGTAGTACAGATGATGGTAATAAAATCTCTCTCTCTTCCTCTTTCTCTCCCCACCCCCTGCAGCTTCCATCCTGAGTTTGTGCTTCCTGTTGAGTCAAGGCCAAGCTGGAACAATACCAGTCATGGTTGAACCACCAATGCCAAGAGAAGGAGACACCGTCACGTTGAAACCAGGAACCATCCCAGAAAATTCTGTTACCTGCCGTTGGTACCGAGGGGAAGCTGCTGACGCTAATGTTATCGTTATCTTTTTTTTTTTCCCAAGTCCTGGGGAAGAAAAGGGACCTGCATACACTGGGCGGGAGACGGTGGACTCCAGCTGCTCTCTTCAGATCACAGACCTAAAGTCAAATTACTCTGGAACCTATAGATTGTCCTTTGATGGACCTGGAATTACTGCAACTGGGAGTGCAAACATCACGGTCATAGGTATGTTCAACTTGTTCTTTAGCCAACCTGGCTTCTTTGGGTGCCCACACCAGTCTCTTTGGGTTGAGATTTCTGAGTCTTTTCCCCACAAACAGCTAAAGGCATTGAAAGGAAATCCCTCCTTCCATCAACGGTTTCTGTGAAAGACCCTGGAATGGGGACCATTGTTTATTTGGCTGACCATCCTTTAATTGAACAGTTATGATGAAGCAGATTTTCATACTCTTCCTTTATTCATATCAGAGCACAGTACAATTTAAAAGTATGGACATATATGAAATACAGGTAAAATTCTCCTTTTACAAACCTTGGAAGGTTTGGAAGACTGAGTCAGCCTTGAGCCAGCTACTGTACCTGAGCCTACTGGGATTAAACTCAGGTTGTAAGCAGAGTCTCAAGTGCAGTAATACAGTTTATCCACCCTGCCATGAAGCTCTCTCTTCTTGGGTCTCCATCTCCTGGCTGCCGATTGGGTTCCAGTTTCCAGCAGATATTGACAGTTTTCCCCCTAAACTGCTACTGGCTCGTTCTCTTAAAGAAAGGGCCTACTTCGTACATACTTGCTGCTGAGCAGAAGAAGTAAATATGTGGCTCGATTCGAAGAGCAGAGCTGTTGAACTTCTCAGGAATAAATACTCTCTCCTCTCTGCTAATTCTTGTTTCATGTCTCTCCTCAGATATATGTAGTCCTTCCTTGTTTGCTTTGGCTTCCACTCCTCTCTGTTGTATCTCTGATTGTCTCTAACCTTGCATGTAAGGGCTTGTTTTTCTCCCAAAAAAGACTGTTACAATATTTAAAGACTTGGTTCAAGACTTCTCCTTACTTCTTAACAAGCCAGTTACTTCATTTCAGTCACACAACTGATCGGCTGCATTGAAATACAAAAAAGGCCATTTTGCCATCTTGCAGAATGAAAGACCGGAGGCTTTTCTGGATAGCTGATTGGGGTCAGGAGGGCCTTCGCTGGAACCTGAAATGGCATCAAAATGTCCCTCAACAACACACCTATCCATCTCAAAGCCACCAATAGAAAGTAAGGGTAACCTAAAAAGCCGTCTGATGGTAACATATTTTGAATTCCTGGATCAGCTTCATGGGACACACTCAAGATGCACTCAAGATGCATGGGTCTTGGAAATCATTAGATTGTTAAGGTATTCCAGACATATAGTGGACTTACAGGATCCCTTCTGGTCTGGAGGAAAGATCTAGAGTTGTGTTCCTTAATGGCCGCACTTGACAAAACCTTGCCCAGATTTAGAGGCCACGAGAACACAGGAAGGATGAAACCTCTTTGTGTTTTGTGTGCAGAAAAGCTCTCCCAGCCAATCCTGTCGCCTGCGAATTATGTGGCACTTGAGAACGAGAACATCACCTTGTATTGTAACATATCCAGCGGCAACGCTTTCAACATTTCCTGGTACAGAAATAGTGGGCCTGTGTCACCAGAGGCAGACATTTCTGAAAATAAGAAAAACCTTACTCTACGTAACTTCACCAATGCCGATGCAGGGATCTATACATGTGTGGCCAGCAACCAGCTCAGCAGTGAAACGAGCAACCCCAGCAGCATAACCTTGGCATGTGAGTAATCCCAGTGCAAGTATGCCTCTCCTCCTCCTTTTGCTGCATGTCTGTAGCAGGAAACGTATCAGTGACACCAAATAAGGTATCACTTCCAAAATGACAAAACCTGAAGCTCAAACTTGCCCAGAACCTGAATCTCCTATTCCCTAATCTTGACGACTAAAGGTAGCTTATCTTGCGGGTGATGCTCACAAGCACCCTTCTCTTCAGCCATGTTGTGAAACCGGGTGCCACCGCTGCTCCCCAGTGAACCTTGCTCAATGGGACGGTGCATGGACGTTGGGCTTACACGGTGAACAGCTCTTCCCCCTGTTTCCATCCATTCTCTTTGCCCTGATTCTCTTTCCTTTCCTTTCTAGATGGGCCTGTGGACATTAAAGTGGAGCCAGCAGGTGTCATAACCCTGAAACTAGCTTCCAAGTTGGATCTGCTGTGTACGGCGGACTCCAACCCTGCAGCACAGTTTCAGTGGTTTATCAATGGTACTGTCCAGCATGTGACAAATAACAGATTCAGTGTTGACTCGGTGGCCTGGAAAGATGGAGGGAATTACACTTGTCAGGCCAACAACACGGTCACCAAAAATCATGCCTTAGTGTCTGTCATTGTGAAGGTGACAAACCAGGGTGAGTCCCTAGAACTGACAACTCATCTAACACTTACCTCCATTTTATTTTGTTTATCCTCCTAATATTTGAAGGATCCAAGACTGCATGCAGTGAAGTGGTTGTTCTTACCTGGAGATAGAAATTTGATTTACAGGGAGTAGGAATTAATTTAACTCACATGTGAATGATTTGGAGAGGGAGCAAAAGACCCGGTCACTCAGGGAGGTAGACACTGTAGGTCAGAGATGGTGCTCATATGGAGAGGATGATGCCAATTTCCCTTCTCGAAGGGTACATCTTAGCTTAGGGCGGCTCTCTTTTAAACACACACAAGTGTCACTTTCCTTGATTTACCGAAAAGAAGCTTAATGCTCGGGGAAGGAGAGGATACGTTGATATCTACCATAGATGCCAAGCTGCTCCTTGAATGGCTACCATGAATGCCAGCATTATCAAGTCAGTGAATGACAGCATGATTAAGTCCCTAAAATGTGCTTTGCAATTTAGGTCCTTCTCTTTCCAGTCCTGGTGGCTTGGGAGGTGGAGCCATTGCTGGGATTGTTCTTGGGTCCTTGGCCGTGACACTGGCATTGACGGGCACCCTGTTTTACTTCTTCTGCCGTAAGTAAGGCTTTGGAACCAAAGAACCCACAAGGTCTTTGTTCAGATCTCAGTTCTGGGGCAGGAATGGCAACCAATAACTAAGGAAGTGGGTTGGGTGGAGAA